GGTCTAAGGTGTTCAAAAAAAATTAGTCATTGGACAGCCGAGGTCTACGAATAAGCTCCTCGGCCTACTGAGATGTTAAAAAAATTAATCCTCGGACTACCGAGGTCTATAAAGAAGCTACTCGGTCCTGTCGAGGTGTTCAAAAAATTAGTGCTCGGAATACCGAGGTCTACGAAGAAGCTACTCGGCCTACTTAGGTGTTCAAAAAACTTGTTCTCAGACTAGAGGTTCAAAAAAATAGTCCTTGGACTGTCGAGGTCCACAAAGAAGCTCCCTGGCCTACCGATGTGTTGAAAAATTAGTTCTCGGACTACTGAGGTCTACAAAACGCTCATCGGCCTAACTAGGTGTTCAAAAATTTATTCCTCCTACCAAGGTCTACAAAGAAGCTACTTGGCCTACCGTGGTCTACAAAGAAAAATTTCATCCTCGGACTACCGAGGTCTACAAAGAAAAAATTCGCCCTCGGACAACCGAGGTCACCAACGAAACTCCTCGACCTACCGAGGTGTCTAATATCCGTCCAAACTATCATTATCCATGTTTTTCAACGTAAGTACTAGCGCTACTGACGTTGGTAAATAGTATCTATCTACCGAAGACTTGAAAAAATGATGGCATGGTATGAAAAAAAAATTACCAGAGTCTGGGGACTTTCGAAGACTGACGTCGAGCGTGAAAAACCAATGCAATCCCCTGATCCTCTTCCCCTCTCTCTATCTCTCTTTCTCTATAGAAAAGATCAATTCAAAGTGAGAGAAGAGAAATGAGAGTGAGACATTTTATAGCAAGCAGCTTGACTGTCTATCTGTGCAATTGTACTGGAAAGTCGCCAAATACAAATATTCATTTGTAAATGTCTGATCGCTTGTTTTCTGTACGCGTAAAAATTACCGCGTACATAAATAGGGGCAAGTGATAAAGGAAAAAAAATCTACATTTACTAGGCGACACGTGGCTCGGGAGAATAAAGCCACGTGTACTCCGAGGACCGTTAGTGTCTAAGGTCAAGGCTGAAACCCAACCTCAAGTTAGGCCTAAGGACCCAAGGTGTCTGGCCCAAGGTCTAAAGGTTGCCCAACTGGTGGACCATATTTCACTAAACTAACGGGCTAGGAAGTCCTCCGTCTGCATATAGTGAAGACCTAGGTCATCCGACCTATATAAAAGGATGACCTAGGTCACTCTATAGCCACCACCTTAATACCTAAAACCGATTATAATTTAGGCATCGAAAGATCTACCCCTAGGGACTACTCCGGGGTTCTATTTTGCAGGCGGCGGAGCGGAGACACAGTCCAAGGAGGACGTCCGAACATACATCGCGCCACGTGTCCTCGAACTAACGTCAAGTATTTCTTGTATCATCACAATGAAATACTGTTTAAAAAAATCAAGCTACAGCTTGGTCATCTTTACCGTCACCCAAAACTGAAATTAAGCACCTTTAACCATATCAAACATAAAAAAACACAAATAAACAAAATAGCAAATGATAGTTGCTGAAAACCCAAAACCTGATAACTGAACCATCGGAATTAGCCGTTAGAGCCACCGACTCACTCTTGAAAAAGGGCTGCGCCTCCTGTCGGAGTTTCCAATCGGACCTCGGATTCATCCGCGTTGTAAAGTCGAAGAACCTGCTCGGAAAAAATGATATGCGAGCTCTTAATTACAAATCCAGATACAAAAATACGCTCACATTTTACAAACCAGGAGCTGCAAACAAATGGTTTATAGATCAAGTTAGCAATGGTAGAACTTGCCGAGACCCATGAGGAAATGGGTAGATTGTTCGAAGCGGGAGCAAATCGGATCCTGAGAATGGCGTCTCGGATCGGGTTATCGAAGTTCAAACAAGACCCGTTCATGTGGGAATCAACGAAATTATCGCAGTGGGGAGAGAGAGATCTGGATGAGTGCGCAGATTGAATTTCAATTTTCAAGTGTTAAAATTAAAAGGGGCTTCAGCTAATTTTGAGTTGGGTTGTAATATACGGCCAGAAACCGGACAGAAAATTGGCCGGTTATGGCCGGTTATTTTTTTTGAAAAAAAAAAAACATTATTTGTTTAGTTATTTTTTGCACGCTTTGGGTAGTTGGCGGAGCTAGGTAGGGGCCGTAGGGCACGGCCCTTGTACAATTTTTTAAAAAATTAGTATATATATGATTATATTGTAAAATATTATAGATATATTCTCTTAAAATTTAAGTTGTTTGAATTTTGTATTTGTATTATGTTGTAAGCAACATATATAAATGGGTTGGATCGATTTACCACAAAAGTCAACATTGATTTCGATGCACATTGAATTTTACGTGTTCTTAAAATTATAATTATAAATTTAAAATTAGCTACTAAATTTAACCAAATAAAATTTTTATCTTTATATTAAAGAATTTCACTAATGCTAACGTCTAAGAATATCCAATGTAAAATAAAAAAAAAATGTTAGTATTTGAAAAAGATATAAACCCTCATATTTGTAATAAGTGTCGTTTTGAGAAGTTACACAATAATTTAGAACTTTTTTTCCCAAAATAACTTTCATTAATGAGGATAGAAATGAATATTTTGAGAAACATGAAGAGTAAATATGAAAAGACGTACTATATTTATTAGCTATATGAGTGTAATAATAGAAAAATACGTACAAAAGATTCAAAATGTCACTTATTTAGTTAATCGTTGATAAAGTCAAAATGACATTTTTAAAAAAATAGGAGGTAGTATTTAATAAGATTTGAATTTATGTAATTATGAGTAATATAATATATAAGAACATGAAGAAAATTAATATTATTATTTTCTAAACTTTGTAAAGATTACGTTTGTGCCCCTCAATCTTCCGAAGTTGCGTCCGCCCCTGAATTTGGTTCTCGATTCCTATTACGATTTGTGAATGCATATGTATTAATTGAAAAACCGACTACGTATGCATAATATGCATGTTTTCCTATTTTATATGTAATATAATATTCCATTTTTTAGTGTATATTATTCGGTTCTTCATTGTCATGTTATATATGACTATGATTTTTTTTTATACTTTTATATGTGAGTTGCGAGTTTTTTATCGTTCTTGATTCAAAATCGGCTATTATCGGTTATTTTTTTGTAATTCGGTTAACCGAGGAACAGAGTTGTAACACGATATGGTTCTTTTTGTGTTCTTGCAAAATTCGACGTGTTAACCGAACTTGTTATATTGCTTCGACTCCGCTTCCAGTTTCTTAAAAATATAATAGGAACCATACCGTTCTCTGGCCTAGAAAAAGTTAAGTGCGTGATTAGATATGAATTCAACTAGTAAAACATTAGTTTTTTTTTAACTATAGTTGAATTTAGAAAAAAAAAAAAAAGGTGGTATAGTTAGTTGTTAGTAAATATATTAAAATAATATTTAAAATCAAATAATTAAAGTTGATTTAATGTAAAAGTAAGAGAAAATAATTAGAAGTGATGGTTAATTAAAATTATGTGAGTTGATAAATAGTGAAATAAAGTTGATGTGATGTGTAAGAATGATTGAGTGCTATTATTTAATTATATTGATAATACTGAAGATAGTAGAGTTGAGTTAAAATTGAGTTAAATTTGAGTTTTGTTGGATTTTTTACTCTCCAGCCTATATACAATCGTCCCCTGAGTTGTTCACCTAATTTTATTTAGAGTAATGCTATATGTGCATGATTTTGTACACTAGTACAACACCCGTGTATTACACGGGTGCTTATTAAAAAATTATTTTTAAATTTTAAAATTAATGATAAAAATTATTTTAAATTTTATTTACTTATTTACAAAAAATATATATTATTATATATTTTAGAATCACACTTGTTACTTGTTTAACATACATGTGTTATATTATAGTATTTTTAATAACTTATATCATATACCTACTTGAAATATAAATATATTAAATGATAAATAATTTTATTTTTTGAAAAAAAAAAATTTACTATTGTTAAAAAGATAAATATAATTTATTTTTCTTATACATACAATATGGATGTTAAATCGAATTTCATCAAGAGATAATTAATTTGATATATTATATATGTGAAACTAGTAAAACATACAAAAGTTATTAATTTTTAAAAATACATTTACAATTCAATTGTTATAATAAGAAATGATATTAAAATGAAATTAATACATGTCACATGACCATAAAGAATCAACGTATTTATGGATAATCCGGACCTAATTATTTTTGGATTTGAAGTAAATTAAAATCTACCCAAGCCTAATAACGAAGAATGTAATTTTGCCACATAGGATCTTGAAGCATGCGGGTCTGCCACTTAGGCTCAATATAAGGGAGGGGATAGGGGTGTACATAACACTCTCATTGAGTGGGACCCACCGAAATTAAAAAAAATCAAGTGGACCATGTAAGTGTTATGTACATCTCTATATACATATGTACTTGTAGCATTTTCTTTTTATTTATATATTTACGAAATTTTTATATTGCAAATAAGTTTATGTGAATAGTTGGTTTGTGGTTTTGTCATTGGTTTATGAACTACATTGTTTTTGTTTTATGATCGGTTATGAATGATTTATGTATAATTTATTTTGAATGTCATATTTCTATAAAAGTTCCCAAAAAGTCTTTAATCATCAGTTCAACTATAGAAAAATTATAATCTTAAAAAAGGGGGTCCATTATTTTTTAGCTTAATTAACGTTTTAAGTTCACCAAAAATCATTTTAAAATGTCAGGATTAATTCGACCCACTCATTTATGCAGGATTTCGACATAATACCACATAGACTTTCAAATTATCCAAGAAGTAAATTTTCAATTTTCAACTATATACAGAATATGATATGGTCATATGGTCCAGTGGTTACATCACATCATCCAAAGAACGAATAAAGGACATCAACAGTGTGCAGAAAATATGAAAAATAAAATGACAAAAAGAACACAGGGCAACATCCAGTTCTGTTCTAAGCTCACTGCTCTCCGGCTTCACCTTCCTTGTCAGACACTAAAATCCTTGGATTTGTCACTAGGAACATAAAAATCAAACTTGACATCAACCGAGCCCGAAGTTTCTCCTCTGTCCTTATACTCAATATTCGTTATCGACCCGGTTTCGTCATCAAGTTGATACTCTGACCTCACACGCCTCACAGGCACTGTGACCGAGTAAATAGTCCCCAGGTCTGGATCAGTCGAGACACTCAACTGAACCTTGTCCTGAGACTCGATCTCGACAAAATCAGACAAGGCACTCACGACATTGGTCACGATTTTCTGTTTGGCCTCTTCACTGACCGCACACCGGTCGGAGAATAAGATCATCTTAAGGCGCTGTTTGGCGATGTTGGCGTTGGAATTCCTTTTGGTCGAGGGTGATGGGAATATTATCTTCCACGCCAGGTTTAGACGTTCGAAGAAGTTCAAGTTGATTATGTTGAATAGAAAGCTCTCGAATTCCTGGCTGATGGGATTTTTAGAGAGCTTATAGTCTTCAAAAGTCCCCAGAGGTCGTTTAGCGTAGCAACGGGTGGTATAGCGACTTTGCCCATTAGTAAACACGTTGCAATCCACCTGTATAGCGAAAAATGAAATATTCCATAGAAAAAAAAAGGATAATTGGAAAAAGTAATGGACTAGTTTTAGAACTCAAAATCTTTGCTTTGATGAGTTAACAATGTTTGCAGTAACAAACATGAGCCTGAAACCAAAAGCCTAGTAGAGTGTACTTTTATCGACTCGGTTATGACTTATGATGCTGATCAATGATAGTTATGGGAGCATGATAGCTGTCAGAGCATCAAGCATTGGCATAGCTAATATTAACAAACAAATCGTGCACAAACTCATAAGCATCGGTAGCAAGAGTAACCTAGTTATGCCAGTTCCAAATGTTCATAAAAATTTTGTTTCGACCTAAGTTTTTATCGGCATTAACACAAAAAAAATCGATGTTCAGCAAGATATCTCCAAAAAAAAGCAGTAGATGATTGATTAAATCATACATCAAGCCACATTGTTCATGTTCCTGGAAATCAACATCCATTTAAGCAAGATCGATAGAGGTGAAAACAGGTTTCCGTATAAGTTAAAACCGATTATCATCTCAGAAAAAAAAAATCCCCAAAAGAAATAAACAAAGAAAACGAGAACACATCGACAATGAAAAGGTTTTTGTCGGACCAAATGCTAAAGAGAAGCCCAGCTCAAAATTACTACTGCAATGGAACACAAAACACACACACACACACACAACACACACACATTACAGAAAATAAGGAAAACTAGAGAGCAATTAGAGAATTTAAAAAATGCGTGTAAGAACTGAAACAAACCTTAGAAGGGGGAAGATGAAATGAGGCTCGAGTGGTGTTGAATTTGCACGAACTCAAAGGTGCATATAGAGTGAGATCTCCTGATATCGCCATCTGCATATCGAGCAAGCTCTCACTCACTCCTTTCCAAGGAAATTATGCTGTTAATTCGCAGCAAGCCCAGGGTTTGGGTGCGGAAATTTTCAGGTCCATTTTACTGCTTTTCGCGAGTGAGTTGAAGGTCATTGAATGCCACGGCGTCGTATTGAGCACAAAGCCCTACGGGCGTGTTTGATAGGGTAGATTATAAAAGATCAAGGATATATTTGGTAAACCAAATAAGCTATTTTATAGTTTATTTGGTTAGCTTATAAGCTTTTTGTATTTAAATAAACCCCGTTTGGTAGGACGAGCTTATTTAAAAAGTTCAAGCTTATTTGATAAGCTTGTTTAGGTAGCTTTTCAAATAAGCTAGTTGAATTTTTTATTCCAGCTAGCTTATCAGCTCATTTTACCGAACACTTTTATCATATAAGCTAGCTTTTCAGCTATAAGTCACAAGCTATAAGTTATAAGCTCAAAAATTACATATAAGCTATAAGCTAGCTTATCAGCTATCAACTAGTTTTACCAAACATAGCCTAAACTGTTAGTACAGGTTAATCTAGCGTTTGTATTGCAAGACTCTAGCTGTAGGATTAGGCAGAGCCCGGGATTTAAATAACATAATCTTGGGTTTTGGATATTAAATAATCTCGTGAAGCCCACGTAATTCCTTGGATCCCAACAGTACAAATAAAGGTAAATGTCTTTTTTGTCCCTAATATTTAGATTTCGTACATTAATAACCTCGACTGACAAAATAATTACAACATGTCATTGGATAAGAGGTAACATCGTCTCTGCCCTAAGAGAGACTGTCAAACAAGAGCTGCACGGGAGGTGCAAAAGTGGCGAAAATATTTCCTGGTGCCTGCGACTTCTCTTTAAGTGTGCTTTTCAGCTACCATTACAATTAACACGATAACAAATCATGTAGTTTTTGCTTTTGCATACTTTTTTCCCTTCTTTTCAGATTTGATTGTCCTTAAACCCTAATTTTCGCAATGTTTGGTCCGAAGTGAAGAAAGGACCGCACTTGAAGTTAATTTTCCTTACCTCCCGAACGACGGTGAAGCCCTTCACACCGCAATCCTTCTCCGTCACATGTACATGAAACTTGAAACCACTAACTTTGTTGTACCTTTTATTATTCCGGCGATTAAACCCTATTTAACAAAACATTGTAGCTCTATATGAAGTGTAGATCTGGTTTTCAATTGGTTTTATTTTTTGTTTGAAACATATTGTCGAAAATAAGTATTCTATTATGTTGTTGTTGCTTGGAATATAAGTGTTGTTGTTTGTTGGTGTTATATGGTTGTTTGTAATGTAATGAGAAAATTGATTATATTTGTCTTTCCTGTGGTGACTAAGTGTTATTGGTGATTATGTTCAGTGCATTTTTTGCTTTCTCTGCTTTTTTCAAGCACTCAGGTTTGTACATAACAAGATTACATTTTACTACACAAATAACAACACTTGTTATGGGGAGTCCGGATATTTGCTCTTTTCTTTGCTGAAAGGAAATAATCAAAGTTGAGTAAACCTTATTTATTTTTTTAGCACTTAGTAATATACATTACAGGGTAGGAAATCTTAACAATCGTTGGCTTCTCACTTTAACTCATTCATGCCCAAGTATGTATTTTTGTTTACATCATCAGACTAACCATGGACATAGAATCAGAAGAGACGCAAGTACTGTTGCTCGTTGAGGACATAATAAATCTACATAATTTGTGTCTTCTGCTTCTGTACGTTTACATTAAGCTGGTGGTTCAACGAAGACAAAATCGTAGAGTTCGACGATGACTTATAAGAGCATCCTATAGTATGTCAGACCGTCTTCCGTCTCAAATTGAGCATATGAAAGTGTTAGTAGAAATAAGTGACAAAACATGCATTGAACAACTTCGCATGGATCGAAGTGCCTTTGGGCGTTTATGCTACATGTTGGAACATGCTGGCAGCCTGCAAGACACAAGCGATATTCAAATAAGTGAACAAGTAGCAATTTTTCTTAGTGTGTTGGCTCACCATAAAAAAATCGTGTTGTCAAATTTGATTTTAGACGATCTGGTCAAACAATAAGCAAATTCTTCCAAATGTACTTCAAGTCGTCTTGCGCTTGTACTTAATCCTCGTTGTCCAAAGTAGCCCTGTAAACGATTCATGCACAGATTGGAGATGGAGATGTTTAAGGTGAGGACAACATTTTCCAAAGAACTGTCGAAGTGCACCATAAATTCAACTAACAAAAATTTAAATTTTTCAATTTGATTTTGGTTTGCATTGAATCACATGGATTGTTAGGAGCGTTGGATGGAACCTATGTTCCCGTGCGTGTTCATGTACGCCTACACCCATGATATCGAAATAGAAAAGGTTTTGTTTCTGCGAATGTGCTTGGGGTTTGCATGCAAGATATGAATTTTTCGTATGTATTGACCGGTTGGGAAGGTTCAACGGCAGTTTGTAGGGTTTTACGAGACGTCGTTCACTGACAAGGGGGTCTTCGTGTACCAACTGGTTAGTCTTTAATATATTTTCCATAAAATTGTAATACTAATTCCTTGTCCAATTTTTTTTTTTTTTTTTTTTTTTTTTTTTTTTTTTTTTTTTTTT